GGGTTAGATCGCCGAAACAACAGCCCTTGGTCGGGTGAAACCCGAGTCATTCCGGTACGTAGAACCGGCTGTCGTGGGAATGTCGTCGAGTTCCACTAACGGCAGCCCCAAGAAGCGTGCAGCCTCTATGGGGTCGGTCCATAGGGACGACGCCGTTAGGGTTGTGGGGTTTTCCGGGCATGCGAAGAGATGTTTCGAGTCGTGAGGGGTCTCTCCGCATGCCGGACATTCGTTCGGCACATCCGCATTTAACCTACTCAGGTAGGAATTTAGCCTGCTGCAGTAGCCAGAGCGAAGTTGGGCTATTGTTTTTCTGGTCTCCCGAGGCAGATGGAGCTCCGTCGCGTCAATGTCCGGTGTTTGTGTGCCTATAACGGCATTCACAGGTCTTGAGTCTACATAACTCGAGACTACGTCCCTGTGGATGCCGTTCAGGGCCTGTCTGCGAGCTGACGGGTCCAGAGGCTGCTTAATGAACCTCTCGACTTCGTCCGTCAGTTCATATAGATGCCTCCTGACGTGCCTCCGCGAGGGCTCCTCTGCAAGCTGTCTACGTAGTTGGTGTTATTTATTATCACTTCTCCAATATTTTCTTTGAGATCCGTGTTATTGACTACCTCCTTTTAAGTATTTCCACATGAGTCGGCTGTCACCCTTATTTATTTCCACCTTATGCTTTAAGTATTTACACGCCTATTCTGCAACTCTTTCGTATTCGGATTTTGCTACGAATCGTGGAAATAGTATGCTGCAATCCGAATCGTATTTTCGAACTTTTGAAATTCGTAACAATGGCATGCCTAAAAACGAACGAGTAAGCTTTTTTGAGTAATTTTGTACGAAAACAATTCTGTGTCGGAGGCGAAATAAAAGATGTAAATCGATGTGTGTTTGCAAGAAATATTGGTGGTGTTCATTTAAACAGATAAATTTGCCTTTCGCATACACGTATATTTTTATCCACTGCTTTATATAAACCAAAAGGAATATTTGTTGCCCCTTATCGAGAAACTTGGGTCCGGTTTAGTTAATGTACAACGATTTTCGGTTGTTGTGGCCAAACGCATAACCCGAATCCAAAAACTTTAACATACACGTGTAATGAAAGGATTCACATTTTATTTAAGATAAATGTTTCAAATTTCCTACCAGTAGCTTATTAATAAACTCGGTTTGCACTATGCACTTTTGGCAAATTTCGACGTGGGTTCTGCGCATAAATACTGTGGACGGCATAGCCGGAGTGATATGCACAAGAAATGTTGTATACCTTTCCCCGCAACACAGAAAGGAGAATTCTACTTTTTACTTAGTAAGGGTTATAATCTCTAAGCGCGGCCGAAGGCAGAAGCAAGCGCAAGAGGGGTGGACCTAACAAAGTGCATGTTTTCAATGGCTTGGAAGAAGCTGTTATTGCATTAACCGGATTGAGAACCAGAGCTTCAGGCATAGGAGTTCTGGCTTGTGGTTCAACAATTCAACCAGAAGCTGACATATACCTTGTTTATATGGCATCAAACGCGGTATCGAATTAACTCGTGTCATCGTAGCTCGCTTGAAATGCAAGTGTTTATATGCAACACAAGAAATGAGTCGATCGAACACACTTTCAAAGAGAGTTTATCCCGATGCAACCCTGTTAATACATGTGTCAAATCTTGAAAATAATGAACATTGAAAAATAATAATTAAAGACTCAAACAGCCTTGTAAAAATTATCTTAGCTACTAATTTTAGAACAAAGCTTAGCATAAATGTAATTTCAAGAACTATTTAAATGGTTTACTTCATACAGAGTTGCATGAAACAACCGTGTGGACAAGTTCCGTGTTTATATGCATTCTTAACACGATTAAAAAACTCTTAACTCGCATTCAAAATGTGATTTATGGTGGCACGGTTAAAAGTTTCAATTCGATTAGAGAATGTGTTTATATGTGTGTGTCCATATAACATGGTTCGACTTAGAACGAATTGAAGCATCATATAAACGTGGTAATAGATGCGCCCATGGTTACTATGCCCGACAGCTCCGCATACCTTTGTGAATCCATTGCCATAGCGCCCGCTTACTCTGCTGCTATAATTGCAAATACATCAGAATCCATAATTTTCCTCAAAATATGTAAAACTAACCAATTTTACAATAAACAAGCACATGAGTGTTTTTTTAATTCCTTTCCACTTTGCTTTCCTTCATTCAGCTATCTTCGAGAAACAACTGATAGCTTGCAATAGGTGTGTACTCGTATTGAGAGGACAAAATTCTCCAGCAGCAAAAGTTCTGAGAATTTAGCAGCATTCGCTCTCAAAGAGACGAAATATCAACAGAAGTACGAGAACGCAAAATTTGCAAAAACTTGCAACCTTCGAAACAGCTGATCACTTGCACAGTTGCCACTGGTGATTAATTTGGCAATTTATTTTCTCCTTGGAGCATTTTCCCCCGATTTGGCATTTTATACAATTGAATAGTTTTGGATAAGAAAAACCTTTTTAAAATACGAATTAATTATATCGGAATGCATAAGTTATTTTTCTCATAATTATTTCTGATATCACATGGTGACGCATTAAAAACAAGAGTATCTCCTCCAAACACCCATCTTTGATCCAAAATAATGTAATAGAGTAGGTTTAAAATTATAAAATTTTCATTTCAACAATCAACCTACCAAAACCGAAAACTTCAGCAAAAAAACATTTCAGCATGCTGCATTTAAATCTATTTTGGTATATTTAAAGGAAAATTATGGTACAAACGAAAAATGTCATACGGCAACCATAGTCAGCACGCACTAAATTAAACAAACTGGAGATTAATAGCAAATTAACGAAAAATAGACTCAACAAACGTTGTGCTTATTAAATTTACGCACTTTTTAGTTATATACTAGCATTAATAATAAAATTTGCAATAAATAACTCAAAAAGGCCATATTTTCTATTGTTTATTTACAAAAATGTGTTTGTGATCAGCGNAATTTTCATTTCAACAATCAACCTACCAAAACCGATAACTTCAGCAAAAAAACATTTCAGAATGCTTCATTTAAATCTATTTTGGTATATTTAAAGGAAATTTATGGTACAAACGAAAAATGTCATACGGCAACCATAGTCACCACGCACTAAAGTAAACAAACTGGAGATTAATAGCAAATTAACGAAAAATAGACTCAACAAACGTTGTGCTTATTAAATTTACGCACTTTTTAGTTATATACTAGCATTAATAATAAAATTTGCAATAAATAACTCAAAAAGGCCATATTTTCTTTTGTTTATTTACAAAAATGTGTTTGTGATCAGCTGATTTTCTTGCATGCAAGTTTTAGCTGGGAAAAATTTTTCCAGCAGAAATTTGCAGCTCTCTTTCACATTTCGCTCTCTCAATTTCCCCTACTTTGCAAGTTTTTTGGGTACGAGAACGCGAAACCAGTAAAAGTTTTCTAAAACTTTAGATAGTTGGGCGTACGAGTACACTCCTAGTGCCGCTGATAGTTACGATCGGATTACATACCAATTTTCAAATTTTTGGAACGGAGCTACGAATTCGTAGCTACGAACGTTCGGATCACAGCATAGGGGTGTAGATGTCTGCTAAGACAACCCCCATTTATGTAACAAATTCCGCATCACCCCGAGCTGTCATTTGTTTATTTGTTGTAGTTGTTTCCAAAAAACAATATACCGTTATGTTCACCTCAATGATCGATCCTATTTCTTTTTTTTTAATTCGAGAATTGTAGGTATTGTGCATTAGTTCCCCCGTGTTTTCGCAAAGAACTCTTAAATAAATTAAAAATGTTAATTTATTATTATTGGCGTTAAGACGCGTCGATTGATATCAATCTTGAATTTTTCCGTCCATTTTTGCCTGGTCCCGGTAAAGTAAACTATAACCTCAAATTCGTCCATACCCACTGGGAAAATAGGTAAGCACCTTACGAGGTAAGCCACGTTTTCTTTTAGTTATTAGTACCACAATTGTCATCATGACCAATGTCATCTACTAGTAAAGCACAAAATGAAAACCTCCGACGGCACATTACGTTGTCAGTCAAAAAATAACGTGCCGCTGAAGTTATTTCCAAGCGCCGAACTACTCCGAGCGAGTGCACTGCATTCTACTTAACTTACTTTGTAAAGTGGCACAGAAGTATGTCTGATACCAAATGTACATTTTAAACTCCTACTTACATAAGGCGGCCACGCCTTTTTTTACCTTCCTTTTATTAGCTCGGGATGTAACTATGTAATATTGATGCGCTTAAAAGATGCAGCGATTTCTATTCTGAAGTTACATACCTGATGACAGTACGGATGGCAATTATAATAGGAAGGTTTTAGTTTTTTAAACTATAATTTTATTTAAAGTAAGGGAGATTCGTCAGTGAAGTGGTAAGGACCGCCTGGTGAAGTGTAAGTTTCTGCACTTCACCCGGCGGTCCTTATCATTTCACTGACGCCCCTTGCTTCCCTTACTTTAACAAAGACGTGGCCGCCTTATGTAAGTAGGAATTTAGAATGTACATTTGGTATCAGACATACTTCTGTGCCACTTTAGAAAGTAAGTTACGTACAATGCAGTGAAGTCGCTCGGAGTAGATCGGAGCTTGGAAATACATAAATTCGGCGGCACGTTATTTTGCAACTGACGACGTAATGCGTCGTCGGTGTTCATTTTGTGCTTTACTAATAGATGGCATTGGTCATGACGACAATTTCGGTACTAAAAACTGAAACAAAACAAGGCTTACCTTATAAGGCGCTTAGCTATTTTCCCAGTGGGTAAGTTCTCATGAACCGAGAATATACATATGTATATGTACTTACTTTAATTATGGTACCCCTAACAATTGAGACACTAATATAGAATTAAATAAAGTGTTATACCCCTATCTACAAAGTCAGTTAGACTTTTGATGTATGTAATTAAAACTCTATGCACGAGTATTTTGTTTGTGAAGCTCCTCGCAATACTTATCAACCTACCATAAATTGTGGTTTTTCAAACATGTATGTCATTTGGCATGCATTGGGCTCAACCTCTATATTGATATTATAAATGCCGAGCAGAAAAAGAACAGCAAAAACTGTAACAACCACCACGAAAAAATGTTTGAACATATCTCACAATGTTTACTGGACCATGAGCAGGATTAAGGTAGGTATTTTGGAAAAACATCGATGCATCGAAAATATCGATGTTTTGTTTCGATGCATCGATGTTTTTTGAAAACTGACATACCTAATACATTGAGGGCACAGTATAGGAGCGTTCCTTATCTCCCAGAAATAGTCAGAAAAAGTCCGAAGTAGTCAGATTTAGTCCAAAAAGCGTTCCTTAACTCGGAAATGACAGCAAAAATGAGAGAGCAACAGTCAGTGAGAGTGACTCTCATCAGTCCGAAGTAGTCAGATTTAAGGTTCATTCCTTATCTTTTTGGACTAAAATCTGAAAAGTGTCAAAATGCCAGAGCGTAAGCAAAATGCGCTCACTAAA